CAGGTCTTAAAGTCTCTACTAATGAGCTGACGAGTTGAATCGGGTGTGTTAGATGAGGAAGACAGTGCTGGGGTGACAGTTTTGAAAACCACTGCATTTCAGAGACATGCTCTTAAATGTGACTCATATATAATAAATACTTACATGCATGCACAGTTTTAAGGCAGCTTTAATCACCTTTTTGGTAACTTCATGACTTAACTGACGGCATAACTACAACATTGCATGCTCGTAGTTTCTTTCACACTTTAATAATAAATGATACAGGCTACAGCGCATATCAGTGCATTTGTGCGTGCAATAGAAGAATACATGCTACGAGCACAGTATTATGGCTGACAGGACAGGAAAATTCGCTTTTACTGAAATACGGCCTGACAACATCTCATCTGACTGTGATTCACTGTTGTCCTACTGAAGCTCCGTCGTCACCTGTACCATTTATTTCACGCACATTTGAATAGCACCAGCTGCTGAGGTGAAGTTGGAGTGCGCGTCTGAAAAGTCTCCCATTTGATGTGGTCATAAAGACATTCAACATCTAAATAAACGCAATTCTTGTCAAGAAAAAAAAGAGACAGAAGCAGCAGTTGTGAATGGGGTGGCCAACCAAAGCTCCACCCCGGCGTTAATTGCATTATATATTTTTACACGTTAAACTGAACAAATAAATCGCCTGCGTTAACACACTCATTTTGACAGCACTAATATGTATATGAGCAATATCACACGAGTAGCAGTGCGACATGGCTGTTCATCGGCACGGCTGTGATTCGGCTGTAGGTAATCACAGCATGCTGATATACAGCCATATCGCATGGCTACAAGTGTGATATTGTTTTTATATAACAGTCGACGACACAAGTGTGTAAATACATAAGACACAACAACAGAGTGTCTATAAAAACCCTATTTTGTGCCTTTTTGTGCCTTCCTCAAATCTCAAGTTGACAGTTTAACAGCTGAGCCCAAGCCTAGTAATGAAGGAAGGTTGAGTTGCTTCATTGAAAAGTTATAGTAATTACTGTATTAAAATCTCACTGTATTATTCAGAGGAGAGTATCATGAGAGAGAGATGGACTGAGCGAGTGTGATTACCTGCATCTGATACAGCATTCATTCTTCAGCTCAATCTCACATTCACAATAAAACATTACTTTGAATGCCCGCTGAGGAAAGCGATATCTTTGTCGTACTATCCTTTTTTAATCTGTTAAGGGTGATTTCCGATGACAGCGCTGCTCAGTGCATTTGTTGGCTGTGTCTTACAAGGTGTTGTTGAAAGTCAAAACAACTTCCTTGTTTACAACCCTGTTTCAGTCTCTTTCAATATAAAAAAGACTTTACTGCTGATAACTTTACCACTCATAAACAATGTAACTAATCACCATCATGAACACGCACACCATTTCCCAAAACTAAATACAATTATTAAATATTTATTTCTTTATAAAAATATTATTTATTGAATAATAATATTTAATAACAACAACAGCCATCATAAAAGTTGCTAAGCAGTTCAGTCAAAAGTACAAAGATATACAGCACTCTGATATACAGCATTAAAGTTACATAAAATATAACGTGATGAGATTTTGCCCTCAGCCAAAAATTTGCTCTGGAACAAATAATAGATTAATGAGACCAAAGACTGCCCGTTAGATTTACCAAAAACGAATTATATCTCATGTTTAACCACTATAGAGACATCAGAGCCAGCTGCAAATTCCAGAAGATCTGGCCGAGGTGAGACTGCTCTCGGCAGTTCATGAGCGCTGAACGGCCGCTGACGCCCTGGAGCTCACATCTCCAAAACGTTGAAGCAAATTTTCAAATAGATGTTATCTTTATTAACAAACAACATATTTGAAGTCTAAACAAGTACATTCTCGCCTAAAAAAACCTTTAAAACTACATTCTGTGACACAAAAAACAGTATTATTTATAAAATTATAGTAGATTTGGGCATCCGCCATGAAATACAAAAGGTGAAACGGTCACTAGACTATCACTAGAATATCACACTCCTGAAAAGTCTCTCTGCTAATCAGATTCGAGGACCAAAAAGAACTGTTGTATGAATATATGTGTGTGTATGTGTATATATACAGTGGGTACGGAAAGTATTCAGACCCCCTTAAATTTTTCACTCTTTGTTATATTGCAGCCATTTGCTAAAATTATTTAAGTTAATTTTTTTTCCTCATTAATGTACACACAGCACCCCATATTGACAGAAAAACACAGAATTGTTGACATCTTTGCAGATTTATTAAAAAAGAAAAACGGAAATATCACATGGTCCTAAAAGAGTGAAAAATTTAAGGGGGTCTGAATACTTTCCGTACCCACTGTATATATATATATATACAGTTAGCACACGAATCAATAAAAACCTCGTTTTTATAACCACAGTTTTCGGTTCGGTTTGGCTCGGCAGTGTTTTTTTGCAATTTGTGATTTAAAATGTGATTTTAAAAACAAAAAAAATATATAATAAACACCACGTTTGTTGTGCATGTTTGTAGGGCTGCACGATTGGCCCAAAATGTTGTGCTTTAATATGACTAATAATAATTATTAAGATTATTATTAGTATTGCTAAATAAAAAACATTGAACAAAATAATTAATATTACTATTGTAATAACACTTTCATTATTAAAAATAAAAAAGAGTAAGACTTCTGTAAAAACTCCTGTACTCTAGAGAAAAACATGAAATATCATATGTCTACTTCAAATTTCGTTTGACATAAGTATTCCTTTTATTACTTAATTACATAAGTATTAATTACTGCATTTGCATTATTGTAAGGTTAAGTTTAGGGTTGGGGTAGGTGTACATTAATAAAACACACCTAATAGGTAGCAAATTTAATTAGTTATTTTCCGGGCCGTAGCTTTTATGATCCCTCTTATTTTGTTAAATAATTTTTCAGAGTCTGCAAGTTCTTTGTCAATTTGCAATTCTGTATTTATAATATCTGCCCTTGCACTAGCAATGAATGGTGCAGGGGTTATAGATAAAATCCCAAGTCTCTCTAAGATGTATTGACCCCTTTTCTAAATATCATCTACCCAAACCAGACTCACAAACAGTGGAAGTTAGTTCCTTGTCACTTAGCAGATGCTTTTCATTTAAAGTGACTTATGGTACATTAATTGCAGGGACAGTCCTCCCCTTGAGCAGCCTGGTGTTAAGTGCCTTACTCAAGGGCAAAACACAGAACTGCAGTAGTGCTGTGATGTGATGTGATGTTTATTTTAGTCAAGAAGGAAGAATGTGATACTATTTAATAAATCAATAGATAGTTACAGCATCAAATATCTCAATGGTTGGCATGTTAACGCATAGTGTGTCTCTCTAATGTGAAAAATAATTGAGCTGAAAGGGTTTTATTCATTTATTTATTGCCAGTTAATTTGTCAAATTTTTCCCTGCCAATTAAAATAGTTGTAGTTGAATTATACAGCAGAATTAACCATTTTGCGTATCCGAGCAGCACACAGCAGTGGTGCAATAAATATATTTTGTGGCACAATGAATCATATTTTGAACAAACTGGTTGTGTAAATTTAGTGAATTACTCACGTATGATTAGATAGTTTCAATGAAATTAATAAACGAATCAGTGTTTTGAATGAATCATCCAGAAAGATAGTAGTAACTTGTTTTGCTCGTTAAGTCATTTTTTTAGTGAATCGATTGAGTGAATGAACTCAAACCGAATCACTTGTTGCCAATGAAACCTCCTGAAAGAGTAATTTAAAACCCCATTACTGATACACAGACTGGCAACGTGTCTGGAATGAACTGTTATAATGTATTTGTCATTGTTTGTGGAATATTGAAGCTGAATTGGGAAGATGCCAGGGAGTGACATTAACCAGAACTCTGGGAAAAATGTCCCAGATAGTTCAAACAATGTCTTTATAGTGTTAGATGTTTGACATATTTCATAAGATTTCATGATATTCTATTCTAGGACTTTCCTCTGGGTTTAATATTGCTTTAGTGCAGACATTGTAATGACTTTTAGCTGTCAGATATCTGTATTCAGACTCTGTATTGCTGAATGTGTAGCTGATATGCTTTCTAATGAAAAACAACTGGAAAAAAAATCCCAACAACTCTAATCCCTGAAGCAGTGATAACATAAATATAAACCGTGACAGTAGCTATATAACTAACATAGATCAGTTGTAGGCCAAATATTTAATGGAATATATATATTTTTTTTAAAGATTTAGAGAAATTTTGCATTACATAATTTGATTTAGAATGGTGCAGAAATCACAGAAAATTCAAAAGGACTGGCTCTTCAATCAGGAGCATCTATGAAAAGCAGGAGGAGCAGAAGCAATGACACAGCAGGTCCTAACACATACATGTAATATAAACACAAAACAGTATGCTCAGTCACGTAGAAGGTATATGCTGTTGTGTCCATTCAGTCGTTGCCTTGCTGCTCGGTGGTTTTCGCTCATGTCCCAGGGCACAGTTCAGAGGGAACACCTCTGTATAGGCTTTGCAGGGGGGCATGTCTATGATAGATAAAGGCTGAAAGGGTCAGCTGGAAAGAAATATGGTCTTCATTCAAGTCGACATAGTAGGCACACATGAATACACTGACAGAATGGAAGGAACAGAACACTATTACACTGATGTCTTGCGTTTGGAGGAGAAATGTGTGTGACAATGTGTTTGTTTTCAAATAAGGTCTGTTTGAAGTGGATTTAGGTCTTATGCTCCAAGAGTTGAATCCATAGCTGATGCTGAGTGTATGAGGTTCTCTTCGCAGAATGTGAAGGTTAGAGGTGGCATTTATGCAATTAAGTACAGATGTGGAAAATAATGACTGCAATTGTTGGCTTGAATTGGCTGCTTTTACCTTTATGAGTTGGATTTTAAATTGAATTGGTCAGGATTTTTAGTTGGAAATTGATTCGAAATTACTTGAAGGATTTACGGAATTGCAATTAAATTAAATTCAAAACAGTCACACAATAGAGTAACTTGAGTGGTATGTTTACGTTAACATCTTGAAAGTCTGCTTCATGTTGATTTTATCCATTTTGGGTCATTTAGAACATTCTGGAAATGTGTTTTTCCACCATGGTCCGTAAAATGAAAGGTAATTTTATTCCTTTTATTAATAAAAGGTAACAACGCTGCTCTCTCTCCTTTTACTCTATCAAAATACAATTTTCGATATTCAATTTTTTATTAAAGGGGTCATATGATGCGATTTCAAGTCAAGTCAAGTCAAGTTTATTTGTACAGCGCTTTTCACGATACAAATCATTGCAAAGCAACTTTACTATTCTTTATAAAAGTTAAGACTTGTCCACGTCCTCCTAAAATGCCCCGTTTCAGTGTTAATTTCGTCAACGAAAAATATTCGTTAACGAACATTTTTTCTGTGACTAAGACGAGACGTTGACGAGCTAAAGCTAATATCTGATGATAATAGGGGGAAGTCGTGGCCTAATGGTTAGAGAGTCGGAATCGTGACCCAAAGGCTGCGGGTTCGAGTCTCGTACCGGCAGGGATTGTAGGTGGGGGGAGGGAATGTACAGCGCTCTCTCCCACCTTCAATACCACGACTAGGCGCCCTTGAGCAAAACACCGAACCCCCAACTGCTCCCCGGGCGCCGCAGCAAAAATGTCTGCCTACTGCTCCAGGTGTGTGTTCACGGTGTGTGTTCACTGCTGTTTGTGTGCACTAAGGATGGGTTAAATGCAGAGCACTAATTCCTAGTATGGGTAACCATACTTGGCCACATGTCACGTCACGTC